TATATATATTATATATTCTATATTCTCTTCTATATATTCTATATATAATATATATTATACATATATATATAATTCTCAATGTAATTCTATATATATAATTCTTAATATATTATAGAATATATAGTATCATGTATAATATATAGTAACAAAATTGTATATATATAATATATATATAGAATTCTGTAAATTGTTAATGAGTTTTATATATGTATATTATGTAATACATAATATGTATTACATAATATACATATATGTATATTAATATAATTCTTAATATATTATATTAATTCTATACACAGAATATAATTCTGTAAAATATTACATAGAATTAATTAATTCTATTATATAGAATTATATAACATATTATAGAATATATAGAATCATGTATAATATATAGTAACAAAATTGTATATACATGTATAATATATATAGAATTCTGTAAATTGTTAGTGAGTTTTCGTTGGGTTCTGCATATTTCACTGTATTATGTTGCACTTGATGGAAATAAGTAGAAGAGGGAATTAATTTTTCCCAATGGCAGCAACATAAATTATTACGGATGAATTTTCAACCTTCAAGGAAAGCAAGAGTTTCGTGTTTTTCGATTCTCACTCGAGGGATTCTTGCAGTCTAATAACATAAACATTTACGATCCTTAAAATGGGGACCGTTACTTTGTCCTCAACGTGGATTGTAAATTAAACAACCAGGCCATTGAAATTTCGTAGTATTTCTGGAAAGATTCTTTTCTATCGTGTTCCTTGTAATTTAGCTTATCTACCACTCGTGTTGAATATGGGCAAACGGTTTTAAATACCTGACGAATTCAAAGGGATTGTGCCCAATTATTCACAGGCAAGTTGAGTCAAATTGCCTTTCAACATTCTCCTTGTTTGAACTTACTCTCTCCGGATATTGATCCATCGAGAATCCCTTAAAACCTAATATCGAATAGCTGCGTAAAATCTTCTTCTAGCCGATTTTCTATTGTTCGTGTACATCCGATTTTCTATTGTTCCAAATTCCGGTTTTACACTTTAATAGGCAACCCATCTGAGAGAACTTTGTCGATATTTCTTCGTTGCCATTCGAAGGAGAGGACGAACCTAAATACAGAACTTTTCGAATTTCTGCAAGGTTTTATGACTTCACGGGGGTCAATTATATATCTTTCGAGGAATTCCTTCTTCGTATTTCCCTTTGAAACGAACCTTTCTCACTCAGACCCGTAACTCTCCCCCACTTTTCCCGAATTTTCAGTTTCAAACCCTGCCGGAAGTCTCGGGCTGTTTCGTTGAACGCGCACAGTCTTCACCGATCTGTCTGACGTGTTGTTAACCTTCCCGACGACGTGACGTTTTTTCCATCCTCGAAACAGAGTTCGAAACGTGTTCTTCGCCGATCAGATCGTCGATCTGAATCCGTGAAAAGTTACAGTTCGATCGCGCTTAAATTTCGTTTAGTTGAAGTTTGTGAAACATTGAGAAAGTGGGATTTAATTTAGAGACGGGAGCAGCGAGGCAAAGTAAGTTGGACACGTTGTAGTAATTAATATTATTTTCTTTACATTCTCGTATTATTTTATTTCGTTGTTTAATTTATATAGTAATTAATATGTAACGTTGGGATATTGTAAAATCAGCAGGATCAAATTATAATTGAAGAGTAGGAAAGGGGTGGAGGGGAGGAGTATTTGTATAATAAATGTACATTGAGAAGAATAGTTAATGAAGTAATACGAAAAGAAATAATAATTTTATAAGAATAGAAATTTAGAGGGAAACCGTGAAATTCGTAAATTAAATAGAAATTCGACGGAACATTTTCAAACGGAAGAATAAATTAATATATTGTAGCATTGCGGATTTGCGTGTGACGAATGAGAAAAATTAATACAGGGTGGGCCTTTTCTACCAGAAAATAAAATTTTCTTTTTTTTTTTTTTAATAAAACATCGAAACTTTATATAAAAACTTTATTAATTTTGAATTGAATTCAAGTTGTGGAAAGAAACGTACAATCGAAAGATGATCTTTGGATCGTCCTGTATATTGTACGTAGAAACTGGTGGGAAGAATTAATGATAAAATAGTAGGGTTTGAATAATTAATTAAGCCTACCGTAATTTTGTAAGCGTAGCATCTGACTTGAAGACCAAGGATTGGAAAAGTAATAGGACAGGTAACTAAAGTGTAATGAAATTACGCCTTCAGGTCTGAATAAAACATCCAAGGAGAAGTTTCATTCAGGTGTAATTAACGTACGAGAGGGGGGTAATTGATGAAAAACGAATCTCGTTACATCGGCGTAACGTAGAACATGGCGGGATTTCAGGATAAGGTAAAAAAAAAAAAA